TGTGCCCAGAAACTCGGAGTCATCCAAAAGATACAACATGAAAGGTCTTAGGCCATGTCACCTGTATATTAAAATCTTTTAGTGCGCACAATAATGAAATGTTGAACACAGTAGAACAAATTGCCATAAATCATGCATGGGAAGTTGTTGTTATCAGATCCGTGGCCAATCCTCATCACCATCAGCATCAATGTTATCAGATCAACCAAAACATGGCCCAATCTGATTTGGTTTCTATTCACATATTTTGCTTTTGACCACTGTAACATATACCTACCTCAAACATGGCCCAATCAAAATCACTAAGTGTCTAAATTTTTGTTATGGACAGCTGTATTTCATACCAACACGTTCCAAAACCATCTGAAATTCGGCTAGCTCGAACTTGATCAGAACTCAGCGCAAACTTTAATCCAGTTCAGTTGGCCGAAGAAGCTGATGGGCCAAGCTTTATATTTGAAATGAACTGGTTCGATCTCAAGCACAATGCTTTGCATTTTGGACCAAGCTTGGGACTCCATTCTGACACACTTAGTAGTAACTAACTAACTTAGCACGAACATAATTATAGTCTGAATTGTAGTGAATAACTATTGCAGGGGAAACATGACCTTGATGCAAACATGCAATTACCGGCAATAATTGCATATACTGATTTACAAAGTCATTAAAAATGAATTTTATTCCAATTTAGGCTTAAATAGACTACGCAATTGCACGTAGCATGATACAAAAACCAGCATCTGATTTTATTTGCAATCAATCAACCACCAACATAACCAAAGGGCTGTTGGTTAATTTATGTCAATTCACTTCTACAAAGCTTGATAACTCAATCAGTAGCAAAGTGGAATTAAAGCTAATAGTAAAATAAATTGAGAATTTAAATTGCACATCCACTATATATAATTTAGATACAATGATATTTAAATTACAATAAAAATTAAATTTAAAACTAAAAGTACTATAACTGAACCAAGACATCTAGCACTTAGAACATGAGCAACACAACCTTTCTTTTGTTCTCCACGAGCCCGGCCTTAAACACAAGCAAAAAGAGATAGAAAATGAGTTTGTTAAAAGGCCTTGGGTACTTGTTTATGCAATTCAAAAAAGAGGCTTAATCAAGTACAACAAAACTCTGACCAACATAAGGCTCTATATTTTATAGCTTTGCTGCTAAAAAAAAAAGAAAAAAAAGAAAGTGAAAGTTCATGATTTCTAAGGTTGGAATGGAATCATTCAAACTCGGATCACCAATCAAGGATCAATTTGATATGATTAAACATGATCTTTTCGCCTAATGTTAGAAGCATTACTTTCGACCAAAAAAAATATTCTAAAAAAATTAGAAGCACAGATTAAAGCATGTAATGCCCATTGCGAAGAGAAAAGGAGTTAAAGTGACAAAATAGATGACAATCAGAAGTCAAACAGAAGAGAGACAGATCTAAGAATTCAGTAGTAGTATTTTGAAAATTTGTTTTTGCAAAATTATATATATACTAAACGAATCCAAAAGTCACTGTTCCTAGACTGTAGCTTAGGAATAGTGAGTTATCGATTTTGCCCTTTACTGAATTTTCCCTTATGTTCCCTTTTTGCCCCTTCCCATTTGCATCTCTTTCAATTCGAAAGTTTCGTTCGCTCTCAGCTTTCCAGTCCGTTTCAAACCAGTTGGTTGGGCTGGTTAGGGGCAGCCATGGAAGATCAAAGCTCACTGTTCTGCATGCGTGGGGGCCGTCGATTTTCGTTTGGGGAGGGGCGCTGCAAATCCAGCCGCCCTTTTGGTCTTTATCTCATCGGTTCTCCTCTCAGATCTTGCGTTCGTGTTTTGCCGTTCCAGATGCGCTTCATCATTCTTCTCATCGCACGGGTTTTAGCTCAAAGGATTTCTGGGTTTCGTTAAAAAAGGTTGGTTTTAACGTTCTTTTGGTTTTCTAGGTTGGTTTATTCATTTGTCATGTCGAAAATTGAGAAGTAAATCAGAAATTGAGTTTGGTTTGTTATTACAGAGTGGAAGATCTAAGGAAAAAGAACTGGAGTAATCAATATGAGAACCCCCAGTCTGCTCATCAATCTGGTAATTGATGTCTGTGTGGCTGATATTCTGTTTGCGTGTGGTTATAGACTCCTGCATTTTTTTTTTTATGACTCCAGATCAGAATTATAATTCTAATAGATGTTATAGATTTTCTGTTTGCGTATGGTTATAGATTTTCTGTGTGGCTGATTTTTTTTCTGTTCGTACTTATCTTGCGTTCCCTTTTTATGACTCCAGTTAAATTGGACATTTCAAGAACTATTTTCTTCACATAATTATGTTTATCACATGTCACACCCTCCCATTGGTCTCTGCAATGGTCTGAACTCATGTTCCAACCCCATTTTGATATCTCTCACTGAATTTCCTGGTGAAAGTTTGTCCATGAATTGCACCGGTACTTGCGTGAGTTGCTTCAAGTCTTGATCTTCTGAATTAGCCATTGGAAAGATGAGAAAGATCAAAATGGCCAGTACCCAAGTGGGAAAACGATTCATTTTTTGTTATTTTTATGTACAAGTAGAGTATTTTGTGGAAAATGGTTCTGTGGTTTTGGTTTCCGCTTTATGAAGTGGGCTTCATTGATGGAAGTTGCAAAACAAGAAGAAAGTAAGTTTGTTGCTGGAATATGACTTGGTGCCAATTGGCTGATACAGATAGAGAGTTTGAAGTATTCTTTATGGTTAAGGTTATGTACCATGAGGAGCTTGCAGAATGAGCCTTACACCGCGCTATAGCCAATAACAATTCTGAAAAAATAAGTGGAGCCATTGGAAATTTGCGTGTGGTTATAGATTTTCCGTGTGGCTGTTTTTTTTTAATTTTTTTTTTTCTGTTCGTACTTATCTTGCGTTCCCTTTTTGGAGAGCAAGTAAGACTTTGTGCCTATTAGTTGTTAAATTTTCTGCTTTTAGTGAATTTGAGGGGTATAAATGGAAGTGGAGGGAATTGGGTTTGGTTGTGTGAGTGAAATTATGCATCTTTTTGTGTTATTTCAGTCCAAGTTTGTACCTTTGTATATATGAGTGTGTTGTTCTATTTTGATATATGAGTGTAAAATCTTACTTTACCGCCTAACATGAACATTTTGCCCCAAAGTTTGTTTAATGACTGACAAATGTGAGGAGTTTGAAAAAGGTATCTGGGGTATAGAAACCCCCCAAAGTTTCAATTCAATATTCTCTCATGGTGAATATATCTAACTCCTCAGATGTACACCTCTATCCTGAGCTTATATTGGAAGGTTGCAGTCTTAGGAATTTAAACCCAGGATCTCCGGCGTAGTTAGCGTGATAATATTGGTTGGTTTGTTGCCATTCACAGTATTGTAATAAGATGCAGGTCAATAATTATTTTATATTCTCAATTCATTCATGTTTGTATATTTTTTTTTTGAATCTCATGGAATATCTTTCTTTTATAACATATAGCGATGATCCATTTCACCAGTTGGTTATTTCTGTTTAACCATATAAGTTTTCTTTTCCCCATCTAATTTTTAATTTTTTTAATTCATGGTTAACTGGTCCTTATTGATTGTATCTTCTGAAAGAGATTCTTTTTGTGTCTGCAGAAAAGAAAAAGAAAAAATCCCAAGCTTATAGACTTCTGGATATGTTTTCATTTGAATTCTGTATGCAGCTTCTTTATGATTTCCTTTTTTTCCCCCACAGTTGCAGTAACACAACCTGTAATATATAGTGTTTTGGCAATTGGGTAGTTGAGTTGTTCCCTGTCTATTTTCATCGCTTTATACACATTTCACGCAATTTAAAAACCCGCAGCATCGCGCGGGCAGTTTTTGCTAGTATTATCATAAATCAAATAAACGTCACCCCATAAGTTTTTTTTAAAAAAAAGACAATCATTAGAATAAAAAAGACAAAAGGAGTGAAATCATAACCGTTGCCAATTTAGAATGAGCAGCTTGTGGAACCAGAGCCGGCTCAACCATGCATCCCCACTATACTACAGAAGCTCGTTTCTGGTTTTTCAACCCAACGAAATTATTGAGCTCAGGAACCATAGGAGGGAAGGAAGGGCCATCAGGCTCTACAGCCATGAATTTAATACCCTCTTCGTGCCAAAAGCCCAAACAAGAAAACCAAAGGCCCAAACAAGGGAACCCATAACAAATCGAGGAATAAAACATACAACATGAGAACTAATTTTAATTTCAAAATCGCAAGTAGCCCATAGTTTATTGGAGCAAAAAATTTGGATCCAGCAAGATCGAAGTGATAAAAGGAAGAGGTTTAGAATTTGTCATGCCATTTCTCACCTCTCATTTCAAGGGGCCATATCTTTTCAAGTCAATGGATGAGGGTTAAGTGGGTGGACATGTGTCAAACAATTAGATAGGAAAGACAAGGGTGCATGTAATTTTGGGACAGCCGATCCGCTCCCAGGGAACACATTATCCCATGCACATAATTTTATCACTCAAAAGATAATACCACCGAAAGCACTTGTCAAGCCAACAAAGTCAAAGGTAGGTCCCATAACAAAACACATCACATGCCATCTACTTGTCGATATTTCCACGCAGACAGTGTATTTGTTCACAACACCTCATCCATGGCACTTGTGAGAGCAGCTCGGAAAACCTCCTCTTCTTAAACTTGTCGGTATTTTCATTATGACGTGTTCCTGAGTTTCAGACAAGAAAACCAAAGGCCCAAACAAACAAGGGAACCCATAACAAATCGAGGAATAATACATACAAGATGAGAACTAATTTTAATTTCAAAATCGCAACTAGCCCATAGTTTATTGGAGCATAAAATTTGGATCCCGCAAGATCGAAGTGATACTAGGCAGAAGTTTCCTGGCAATGGCATGGTGTGTACCCAGAATTTGTCATGACATTACTCACTTTTCATTTCAAGGGGCCGTATCTTCTGAAAAGACACAAATAAAGCTGCCACTAGTTGGATTGCTTTTGTCACTTTCTCCCTTTTTTATCTAAAAGAAAGAAAAAAAAAACATAATGATTTCATTTACTTGACTCAAAATAATTGCTTTCATTTGGTCATTCACAATCTGCTTGTTTATTATACAATCCATCCAGGCAGTTTACTTGTTCACAAACCTCCATGGCACTTGTGAGAGCAGCCGATCCACAAACCTCCTCTGTTTCCAGTACTTCTCGATATTGTCGTTATCACGTGTTCCTGAGTTTCAGAGGCCAAGACACTCGCAAGACTTTCACTGACCACCTCTACACGGCCCTTGTCAAAGCCGGATTTCGCACTTTCCGAGATGACGATGAAGTCGAGAGGGGAGAAGGTATCAAGCCCGAACTGCAGAAAGCAATCAAACACTCAAGAACTTCTGTTATTGTGTTTTCGAAAAACTACGCGTCGTCCAGATGGTGCCTTGACGAGCTCGTCATGATCCTTGAACGCAAGAGGATCTCAGCTGACCATGTCGTTTTACCTGTCTTCTACGACGTGGATCCATCCGACTTGCGGAAGCAGAAAGGAGGTCTTGCGGAGGCATTTGCTAGACACCAAAAAACCCAACCGTCGAACAAAGTGAAGGAATGGAGGGAGGCACTTGCAGAGGTTGCAGATCTGGCAGGGATGGTCTTACAAAATCAAGCTGATGGGTAATTTCTTTTATCTACAAGTCTCTTTCTAAAGTTAAAATACTGAAAATAGACTTACTTTTTCTGAATTTTCATATAATATTTCTGAATTTTCGTATGGCTTGTTTTACTTTAAAATGTATCTTCCTCAATATAAACTTAACAGTAAGAATATTCTACTATCCTTAAAATAAAATAAAATAAAAAATTAAGTATAATTATTTCTACTTTAATACAGGCGTATTTTAAAACTTCTCACAATAGAGTTGAAGTCCAATAATTAATTAGACGGATTGTACTATTGCAAGGATGTTTGATATATTTTTTTCATTTGGATTGCAACTTTTCAGACACGAGTCAAAGTTTATCAACAAGATTGTTCAAGTGATAGGAGAAAAACTACGACGTAGACCCCTAAGTGTTCCCCACATCATGATCGGAATGCATTCTCGAGTCAACGAACTTAATTTATGGTTACAATATGGTTCAGATGATGTCAGCATACTTGTAATTTATGATGGGATGAGTGGAATAGGGAAAACAACCATCGCAAAGACTGTTTACAATTCAAACTTTAGAATATTTGAAGGAAGCAGCTTCCTTGAAAATATCAAAGAAGTTTCACAGCAACCCAATGGCTTAGTTCAAATACAAACACAACTTCTTTCTAACATTTTGAATGGGAGAAAAATGAAAATAAGCAATGTTAGTGAGGGATTAATTAAGATTGAAGATGCAATAAGCTCTAAAAGGGTTCTTCTTGTTCTCGATGATGTGGATCATATGGACCAATTAGATGCAATATTTCAAATGAAAGCTCGATTTTATCCAGGAAGTAAAATCATCATAACAACTAGGCGTGCAAGATTGTTAAAGGCTCATCAAGTTACTAAGGTGTATGCAGTTGGAACTTTGACTCAAAAAGAATCATTGGAGCTCTTCAGTTGGCACGCTTTTGGCCAAGACCATCCTGTTGAAGATTACATAGAATATTCAGAGAAGCTAATCGATCATTGCGGAGGACTTCCATTAGCTCTCAAAGTTTTAGGTTCTTCTTTGTTGGGGGAAAGTATATGTCTATGGAAAAGTGCATTGGAGAAGTTAGAAGCTATTCCAAATGGTGAAATAATAAATAAACTAAGAGTAAGCTATGACTCTTTGCAAGATGACCATGACCGAAATTTATTCCTCCACATTGCTTGTTTCTTTATCGGAAAGGACAAAGATTACATTGTTAAAATACTAGATGGATGTGATTTCTATCCAATTGTTGGCATTCAAAATCTCATCGATAGATGTTTGATGATTATTGATGAATGGGACAAGGTGCAAATGCACAACCTGATTCGTGGAATGGGAAGAGAAATTGTTCGCCTAGAATCAAATGAACCTTGGAAACGTAGTAGAGTATGGTATCATAAGGACTCTTTCAAAATCTTGACAGAAAAGAATGTAAGAAATATGCATTCTTTGTGCACATATATGTTTTTCTTCTTGTAAATATTTTCCAAATGTTTTTCTCCTTTTCTTTTGTAGGGTACGGAAACAATTGAAGGTCTTGTCCTCGACATGCACATGTGCCCTACTATAAACTCAAATGAGAAAGTCTTGGAAACCAATGCATTTTCAAGGATGCGGGAACTAAAACTACTCCATCTTAGTCATGTACAACTTAACGGATCTTATGCAGAATTTTGTACAGGACTAAGATGGTTGTGTTGGACTAAGTTTCCTTTGGATTCTATACCCATTGATTTTGCTTTGGAAAGCGTTATTATTCTTGAAATGCAATACAGTGGTCTAAGACAAGTATTCAAGGGAACAAAAGTATGTTACTCTCTAATCTTTTCATTTTCTTTTTCATTTTCATTAGGCTTTTAGTTTGATAACAAATTATATATTTATAACAATTATCTTCCCTTTGTTTTCTTCTGTACATTTTTTCCCTTACAGTGTCTTCTGTCCTTGAAGATCCTAGATCTGAGCCATTCTCATTCACTTACAGAAACCATTGACTTCTCATATTGCCCAAATCTAGAGAAATTGGTTCTAGTAGACTGCACGAGCCTGATTGATGTCCATGGATCCATTGGAAACCTAGAGAGACTTATTTACTTGAATATGAAAGATTGCAAAAAGATTAGGATGCTTCCCAAGAGCATTTGTATGCTAAAATCACTTGAAACATTTATTATATCTGGTTGCTCAAATCTTAATGAGTTATCAATTGAGATGCTGAGGAACATGGACTCGTTAAAAGTGCTTGAGGCCGATGGAATTCCGATACGTGAATTATGGCTAGAAAGAAGTTCGAGTATCTTAGGTTCTTTACCATGCTCTTTAGTAGAATTAAGTCTTTGGGGGTGCAATCTTTCAGATGATGTCTTTCCTATGGATTTTAGTAATATGTCCTCATTGCATAGACTAAATCTAGGGAATAATCCAATTAGTAGCCTACCAAATTGTATCAAAGGATTAGCGAGGCTCGATGAACTCTCTTTTTGTAAGTGTACAAGTCTCAAATCACTTCTCGGGTTACCAAAACTAAAGGGCTTGAATATCGCATATTGCATATCATTGAAGAAAATAACGTATCAATCCTCTTCATCCCTGAAACATAGGACCACAGTAGGTGACAACGACAACCTAGTTGAGTGGCAGTACAATTACAAGTTACAACCCAATGGAAGTGTAGATGTAGAAATGATCAACCAACACTCGGGATGGAGCAACTTGTTGGAATCAATGGCACCCATTCGGGTGTACACAAATGGCAGATATTTAGGAAAGGTTGATCCAATTCCAATCCAGGTGTGCGCCTCTCTCTCTCTCCCTCTCTCTCTCTCTCTAATGATGACAAGAAATGGTTGACTAATATTGTCATTTCCATTGCATATAGGAACTGCATGAGGATGGTATATTCAGCGCATTTTTTTGTGGGAATGAGTTTCCAGGCCAATTCAGCCATAAAAGTAGAGGGTCCTCAATATCTTTTGTAGTGCCTTTGCTTGATAATCACAGAATTAAAGGCTTGATCGTCTGTGCTGTCTATGCGAGTTCTGATTTTCCTTACAATCAGATGGCTACTAGAGTCATAAATAAGAGCAAGGGTCTGAAGTGGTACTATATGCCATCAGCCTACGACATTCCAGGTGAAGGAGAAGACATGATATGGTTAAGCCATTGGAAGTTTAAGGATGAGCACTTAGAAGGTGGCGATAAAGTGGTTGTTTCAGTACGTATGGAACACTTTCAGGTAAAGGAGTTGGGGATCCAGTTTGTGCAGGTGGAACAAGAGAATCATAATATGATGAGTCCCACCGTTTATCCTGTTGATCCACGGGTGAATCACCCAGGAGCATACTTGTTCAATGATGAAGATACAATAGGTGTGTTGTTTATTGACGCATTTGATGATTTTACTAGTACTCCAACTATTTCCAAAATAAACTAAATTACCAAAAAAAAAACAAACAAAAAACAAAAAAAAACCCCTAAGAAATTAAATTAGCATCACAATCTGTGTTGTTAGGATAGGATATTCACCAGGTGAGTCCATATTTCATTTGAAAAATAAGTTTCCTCTAATTTAAATTGGGATTTTATGTTATTTTTGTATGTTTTTCAGACAATGAAGAAGAGCAACAAGATGATCCCTCAATTGCAGCCCCCACAGGTAGTAATAACTGCAGCAGCTGCCTCCATGGCTGGAAGGTGCTCATCACCGCAGCTTGCAAGCTCACGCTTTCTCTCTCACGCAGACAGAAGCAACAGCCAAAAAGCCGGGGCTGAATTATTTGTACATCTCAACTCAGCAGCTGGTTAATTGCCCGACAGAGTGGCTTTCTCCCTTTATATATACATACATCCAATGTCTTCCCAAGACCTATTCGTTTCATAGCATCAAATACATCTTCTATTGAACCAATAATTGGCAACCGTCCAATTCAGATCTTCACTGTGATTTACAACAAAGCTATGCGTTCAGAAGACGAGGCTAACATTACAAAAATTGGTATGGAATGGATTACAGAAATATCAGGACAACATACTCAAATCATTTAAATAACAGACAAAATTTCAGAGCCTGGATCCAAAGGCCTATACACTATACTACAGAAGCTCGTTTCTTGTTCTTCAACCCAAACAAATTATTGAGGTCTGGAACCATAGTTGGAAGGGTCATAGGCTCCGGAGACATGAAATTTACTATCTTCTCGGGAACATTATACCTGCAAAACCATATTTATTAATTTCCAAAACAAATCATAGCAGGTCCACATAGGGAAGCAAAGAATTAACCTATACTGATACCTTATCTTGCGACTCTTAGAGGCTCGTCTGTCCACAATCTTCCTCTTCTTAGTATGCAACTTTTTCAGAGAATAAAAGGCCGTCTCTGTGGAAAACCAAAACCAAATAGTGGAAAATCAGAATCATTAAATAATATGCTGGCAATAACAGGAAACAACTATGCCAGACCGCTCCATTTTGAACGTTCTAGCAACTTGAATAATAGAGTTGAGGATCGACTAAGCTCCAAACCCACCATAATGGAGAAAATGCAGTGAAATTATTGACTTTGACCACTTGGGGAGATACAATATTAAACAATTGAAAATGCAAGAATTTTTCAATGCAATTTGATTGCATTTGTTGTTTTGAACTACAGGAACTCTTAAAGATTGGGTATAACCATATAAGAGCACATTTAAAAGATTCATGTATGAAGTATGGGATGCCCCAATAGTTTTACCAGAAGATGCTGGGTCAATTGTCTCAAAAAATTCTTTCAGTAATTGCTGGTAAAACTCGGAGTCGTCTAAAAGTTCTGGGTCGCCATCAGCTTGTGCACCAGCATCACATTGTGTCTCCTAACAGAGTAAAGGAATAAAATTAATCAATTTGTGCAAATAGAAACATAACTTTCATGACATATCAAGGAGGAAATTGATGCAAACAAAGCAAAATATTAATTAAAAGATACAATTAAGGCTAATGACGCATGATGAGTATTAAAAAAACTAACAGCCCTCACACACAGATCGCATGGTTCATTCGTATATAGCAGTCAAAGGGAACAAACTCATGAAGTAGCACTGGGGCCATGTGAAGAAAATTGAAGAAAAGGCCCCAAACAACCCAAAAATTGTTCAAAAATTTTATAAACTGGAACCCATCCAACACAATAGATGCGTACCTCATTTGCGACATGGGAAAAATTTAAAATCCATGGGACATTAAATTGCGATGTAATCTACAGATGGGTCCTCAAATTAGCATAGCATTAGTGAAGCCAATTATATTCAGAAGAGTAGGATTACCTCTCCCTTTGGAGTATTCTCCCCCTCAGGAACCTGCCCATCCATATGTCAGGTATTAATTACTAGATGTACAAAATTAAGAAAAACCTATCTTGTTATGATGTTATAAATGAAGCACAATTCTGTCTGAGCATGCCCATGCAACCTTGGGAACTCAATTTAGAGGGAAGATTTAGTATCTTACAATGCCAAATACACCAACTGCCGATCGCCTCATCTGCATCTGCTTAACCATTCTGCTTGGATCTCTCATATAAGAAGCAACTTGTTCACTGATATTCTGCAATTGGAAAGGAAAATTCATTCCTGTTGAATATCTGGCAACTTGTTCACTGATATTCTGCAATTGGAAAGGAAAATTCATTCCTGTTGAATATCTGGCAACTTGTTCACTGATATTCTGCAATTGGAAAGGAAAATTCATTCCTGTTGAATATCTGGCAACTTGTTCACTGATATTCTGCAATTGGAAAGGAAAATTCATTCCTGTTGAATATCTGGCAACTTGTTCACTGATATTCTGCAATTGGAAAGGAAAATTCATTCCTGTTGAATATCTGGCAACTTGTTCACTGATATTCTGCAATTGGAAAGGAAAATTCATTCCTGTTGAATATCTGGCAACTTGTTCACTGATATTCTGCAATTGGAAAGGAAAATTCATTCCTGTTGAATATCTGGCAACTTGTTCACTGATATTCTGCAATTGGAAAGGAAAATTCATTCCTGTTGAATATCTGGCAACTTGTTCACTGATATTCTGCAATTGGAAAGGATCTTAATTTTCTATTAATTTGATGTTCCGTAAACTGTAACATTGCATGGGGTCTGCCAACGTGGAGTCGACATAATTAATTAACAAATTCCTATATATAACAGTGCAAAAAATAATAATAATAATAAATTGATGTACTTAGCTGGAATAGATTAAAAAAACAAGAGATGACCCAATAGGAACAAAACACAGAGAGATACAGAGTGGTAATCAGATTATTGTTCAGATTTTATTCTTGTCTAACTTGTTTTTTTATCTCTACGAAACTCCGCAAAGGATAATTATAGATTCATACTGGCACTCTTAATTTGACTTTTCTAGATATCAAGCCGCTAACTTACAACATACAGCTAACTAACTTAATTTGGATTTGTTTCTAAGGCAAAACATCCTCTGCCTGGTGGAGATAATCTCCCAAGTCTCCTTATATAAGTC